TATTTTGTTTTATTATTGATTCAGGTATGTTGGGTCGCTCTGCTTTTTTCTTTGTGATGGTGAAATCACTGTGTGCAATGTGGATATGTGTTTCTGTTTGTCCTAAAGAGAGTTTAGAGTTTGAAGTGGGAGGTTTTATGGTAATTAGCCGAATATGGTTTCTTCTGTTGAATGAGTGAAGTTATTGGTGGAGAAGGTGGCAGCAGAAGAAGGAAAAGTTTATGTTGCTAGGTCGCTTTCTAGGACTTTGTGCAGGCTATTATTGATGACGTAGTTATTTACAAGACCACGGCTTAATCTCAGGAAAGATTCCTGTTGTTAGGGAGTCACAACTTTCCGCCTGGCCCAGGCACACCCAAAGACCCCACTTCCGAGGCCCCTCAGCACCAAAAAGCCGATCCAAGACAAACTCCCGGGACCACACTCAGCCACGGCTTCCTCTCTCTCCCCGCCCCGTCTGTCCGCGGTGCTGTTGCAATCCCACCAGACAGCTAATGGCTCTGGAGTTTGTCTGTGTTACTGCCCACCTGTAGTGCCGAAGATGCACACGATTCCAGCTGTGTTGGAGTCGGGAGTACCTGCTAGTAAACTGTGGTCCTGATATCCATGACAAAGATAAGCACAATGTCGCCCAGGCTGACTGAAGCCCACTCAGTGACCCACTCAGAGGGGAGGGAGGTTGCCCTCCTGGCGCAACAGTGAGCTCTCCGCTTGAGTCTCAGCGGTGGTGCACGCGCCCGGCTGCATCGAGGTGACCCAAATTACCGACAATATCAGGTGCTGGAGGCAGATCTCTGTGGCTGCCCACTGGGGTATTGGAGTAGTCCTTGGTATGCTGATATACAGTGTCTTCTTTCTTGGCTCATGGGGATCTCAGGTGGCCGCCCTCGCCCACCAGTCAGTGACTGCCCCAGGGAACTTTCCAATGGCCTCTCTTGGCTGCCTGTCTATCCTACGCCAGTAGCTCTTTCTTAAATAATCTCCCTGTGCCTTTCCTCTAATTCTGCTCTTCTGTGTTTGGTGCACTCTGATTCAGTGAGCTCTTCAGAGCACCAAAATCCTTAATTCAAACTGCTGTACCTAGTTTTTCAAGTACTTAGATGCTAGAGGGAAATAGCGTGGTGCTTACTGATGAGACTCATTTTGAATCCTGTAAACATATTTTTTAAATGCACTGACAAACCAAATAAATAAATAAAATTGTGTGACTTGTTTTATTGTGATATTCACATTTTTGTGGTCATCTGGCATGAACCCACAGTATCTCTGAGGTATGCCATTAATTGACAGTGTTTAGAGTAAATTAGAATTTGTTTGACTGAAAATTTCAGTTTTCAAAATTTTTGATTAATAGACACCTGACTGATAAAAAGTAAAGCAGACTTTAATCTGAGTTAGAGAAAGGCAGATCACTCTCTTGTCTTGTTGTTGTTGTTGTTATGTACCATTGAGTCGGACCTGACTCATAGTGACCCCTCCTTGGGTTTCTGAGGCAATATCACTATGGAAATAGATTGCCCAACCTTCCTTCCAAGGAGTGGCTGGTGGGTTTGAACTGCCAGCCTTCCGTTAACAGTCAAGTGCCTTAGGCACTATGCTACCAGAGCTCTTGCAGTCATTAAACACTTAATTGTATGTTTGTGTGTGTGTGTGTGTGTGTGTGTGTGTGGTGTTTGATGGTAAGATGAGTGATCTCACCATTAGGCAGAACTAGACATGGATTATCATAGAGGTAGGTGTATGGCATAGACATTATTGGAATAAGTCTGTAAAATGATAGAAGAGATAATGTAGCAAAGTCAAAACTTGCAAGATAGTTTTTAAAAAGTAAACCTGTGAAAGAAAAAGAAAATGCATCAGAGCAGTACCTGTTCTTAATCACAGCCATCTAAAAAGTGTTTGAAACATTATAGGTAACATCATACAGAGATTTAGTGCTATGACAGAACATGGTATCTTTATTCTCTGTGTATCTTAAAAAGCAGACCTTTTTTTTTTTTTAAAGTTTGTCTTAATTTAGCATAAATATGAAGTGATTCTTGAATGTTTTTCATTTTAGATTGATAATGTGCTGAGCTTTTGGGATAGAGAGTGAAGATGGCTTTTTAGCTGAAATTGTTCCCCTTAGGCATTGTGAAAAAGACAGTGGAATACATTTTAAGAAAATTTAGTGTCAATTTAGCTACTTAAAGAAGAAAGAAATAAAAAGATCTTAGGAGAAAGCATTTTTAGCTTTTTGTCTTCTCCAGAATGTACATTTTACTTCTAATGTTCAGCTTTAATTATAAGAATTTAGATTATGAAGAATCTTGTCAAAAGAGAAGTTAAATGGCCAAGTAATTTAAATGCTGTCATGGACTCTATATTTTTCTGGTCTTAACTTACCTCTTTATTTTATTTTATTTTGTTTTTATAGAAATGACTAATTTCACTTTTTTCCTATTCCATTTTAATGCCATTATCACTTTTTAAGCAAATCACCCTTCTTAAGTCTTATCAAATTGTACCAGCAGGATTTTACTATACTTCATAGTTTCATTTCTTGGGAGATAAGTTTTAATTTGGGGGAAGTATTCAACCATTGGGAGCTCTGGTAGCATAGTGCCTAAGGCACTTGACTGCTAACCAGAAGGCTGATGGTTCAGACCTACCAGCCACTCCTCAGAAGGAAGGTTGGGCAATCTACTTCTGTAGTCATACTGCCACGGAAACCCAAGGAGTGGTTGACGGCACACAACAACAACAACAACAACAACATTCAACCATTGTGCTGTGCCAGAGTATACCTGATGGTCACAGTATAACATAGTCAACTTTCTCATTGAGTCACAGTGTTCTATGGAAATTTGGTTATCAAATAATTTGAACCACTTTGAACCTCCATCCCCTGATTTTCTCAAGTAGAAGTCTTTTCTTGCTTCAGGCAGATGAGTTTATTCTGAGCTACATGAAATATATTCTTTTAGCCCTCTTTTCTTTTATGCATGGTCTGAAATAGTAATTCATTAGACAGTGTAAAACTAGATAGATAACTTATGTGTCAGGCAATTTGAAAAATGTTTGAATGCTGTATAATCATGTAATTTCGATTAAATATGGATTCTAGTATTCAAGCTTTTCATTTCAGCATGTTAGTATGGTCTTTGAACAAGAGGGTTCAGACAAGAAAAAGATATCCTCAGAAATTGCACATGATTGGTGTCACTGTTTTTAACATGTTCCATTTTTCTTCTCTCTCATAAAGACTCTGGGTTCTGCGATATCTTTGTTATTCATAAAAATTTTCTTCTTCCTTTGAGTGAACATACTTTACCTTTTAGATTTCCAGAGAAAATTAGTTTAAAGTGATGTAATTTTCACTTTTAAACACATTTAGAAAGTTGTTTCATTTGTAAAGAATGCTAAACTTTTTGTTTTATTTCATAGATATATAATTTCATCTGGCCTGGTCTCTTTTACCCAGTTATAGATAATGTTCAACCACTAGCTCACAGATTATCTTCTCATTTTATCTTTCTCTTTTGTAAATTTTCATTTTGGATTCCAAGTGTCTTGTTTCAGATATAGGAAGGGCTATAATTGGAATACTATAGACTAGGTTGTTGTTGTTATTTGCCGTTGAGTTGGACCTGACTCATAGCAACCCCTCCTTGGGTTTCTGAGGCAGTATCACTATGGAAGTAGATTGCCCTATCTTCCTTCTGAGGGGTGGCTGCATTTATAAAATTAAAAATAAAGAAGATACTGAGTGAACATGAAGTAGAAATTAATTGAGTTAAACATGAAGGAGAACTTCTTGTTATTCAAAGCATGTGATTTATAAACACTGGATGAAGATATTAATTTACAAAAAAGATCCTTTAGGGAAAAATAGCTTCAAAGTCAAAGGAAAATATTAAGTAGGTGAAGTTTATTTGCTTTTCATGGTTTCATTCACTTAATTTATTTTTATTGCAGGTTATGACTTTTGTTCTGAAAGGCATAATTGCATGGAGAATTCTGTCTGCAGAAATCTGAATGACAGAGCGGTTTGTAGCTGTCGAGATGGTTTCAGGGCCCTTCGAGAGGACAATGCCTACTGTGAAGGTAATCCTTGTAATGATGTGTAGCTCAGCTGTATAAATTTTCTAGGATTACTGCATGCAAAATTTATTAATTTCCCATGTTGTCAAAGTTGATGGGCCCATTAAAAGCAGTGAATTTAATTTGAAGCATATTAATCAGCTAAAAATAATTATCTTTCAAATTACAGTTTTTCAGGTATCTGGTATGTGTCAGAGTAATAAGTTAATATGGCTGGTTTCTTGAATCAGAACAATACTCCATTGTGAAACTGCCTTCTGTTTTTCATAATTAGATACTCAGATAGCTCACATATTGACGTGATTACTGTGGCTTGCACTTAGAATAGTAGTCAGATTTTTTTCCAGACAATATTGCATAACAAAGGCAATCAATTAACAAGAAGATAAAGTGCCCATCTCTATTTTTCTTTACTACAATGAGTAATCTCAGTGATTGCATTTATGTGCTATGCTGTTTAGTAAATATCTCCTGTGGAATAAATAACTTTCTAGTTATTTTTAAGAGTCCTAACTAATGTTCGTAGTAGTTCCTTATCTCCTGGAAACACTCCAAATCCAGTGAGCAGGCCTTTGGCATTTGCAAGTGTCAGTGGCTTTGACCATTCATGAAGACCCTCAAAGTCTATGATACGTGGCAATTTATAATTGTACTGAGGCATGGATTTGAATCTTTGAATCATTTCCGTTGATTTTGTTCTGAGAAACTTGTATAACCTTGTGCCTCTTGGCAAGTAATAGCATCAATTTTGTGGGGTTTGGGTATTTGTAGGATTAGGAATAATCTAGACTAACCTTTTCCAAATACTAAGTGTGTCATGGGTCCTTGGGGACACAAAAGCTCAGATATGAACATGCACTTTCTGTTTAGCCATGCAATGATTTGTTGGCATGATATTCTCTGCCTTAAAAATCTATATCCATTTTTAAATTGATGTTTGGATCAAAGTATTTCTTTAAGTGTTCTGATTCAGTCTTAAGGGGACCATTTCATTTTTTTGCTGGTATTATTCTGTGATAAAGGAAAAACATATGACTCTACTACTTCCCAGTTCATAATGCAGATTTATTTAAAATTCCTCATTTTGATAGATTTTATATAAGAAATAGATTTTTAACTAATGATTTTTATCCTTCCACACTGTAAAGTTAGACTCCATAAGTAAAATAGTATATTTTTGCTATAATATTTGTGATATCCAATACATGAAAAGGTCCACTGATGCTGTTAAGGTTTATAATATAAAACTATGTAATTCAAATTCATGTGATACATATTATGAAATCTTAATTTCATGAGCACTTTTTTTTTAATTTTGAGCTGCTGATTCTTTTTTGTTGTTGTTGTTGTTTTTGTTATTACATATATTCACTCATGTAAAAAAAAAAAAATTTAGTGAGCCCAGTGTCAGATTACCCAATAAGCAAGGTAAACATGACCTTATTTGTGTCTACTTACTAATTTGTAGTGAACAATTTCACATTTTTTTTTTTACCAGAATCAAAGATTCTGCTTCTAGGTATGGCTGGCGTGTGTCTTTCTGCCAAACCCACAACACCTTCCTATATTCAAAGCCTCTTTTTTTATAATCCCTGACAAGGATGAGTACCCAGTAAGCAAGGTAAATGTAGGCTTACTTGTGCTTACTTACTAATTGGTAGTGAAACACATGTGAAATTGTTTACTACAGATTAGTAATTAAGCACAAGTAAGCCTGTGCTTACCTTGCCTGTTGGGTAATCCACCCTTGTATGTACCAAACACTTTTCTAGGCACTGGGCAGTAATTGGTGCATAAGAATGATAAGATTCTTAGTCCCAGGAGTTAATGTTCTAGGAGGGAATACAGACAATAAGTGAGAAAATATAGAAATAAAGAAGATAATTTCAGGTAGTGAGAAATAGGAAAAAGTGGAAGAAAATGAAACAAGATGATATGAGAGATTGATGGGAGCAAATTTAGATAGGGTGGTCACGGACAGTCTCTTGGTGGAGATGAGAGTTTATCTGAGGCTTGATTACAAGAAAACAACCATGGAAGGTGAGATAGATCTGGGATAGAGTGTTCCAAATAGAAGGAATAGCAGGTGGAAAGGCTGTAAGTGAGGCCTTTCTGTTTTACATCTCTTTCCTAGTTTCAGTGGTTGCTGGCAGTCCTTGGAGTTCCTTGGTTTATGGACACATCATATCAATCTTTGCTTTTGCCTTCACATGGAGTTCCTTTCTTTACAAGTAACTTCTTATAAGGACCCCAGTCATTAAATTTAGGGCCCATCCTAACCTAGGATTACCTCCTCTTAATTACATTTGCAAAGACCGTATTTCTAACTAAGGTCATATTCACAGATACTGGGTAGACATGGATTCTTTGGGGAACACTATTAAACCTAGTATAGTCTTCCTTCTGCCCTTCCAAAATTCACATCCATACTAGCAACAAAGGACATGCACCACATCCTAACGTCCTCAAAAGGGGTTACCCATTCCACCATCAACTTTAAGTCCAAAATCTCATCTAAATATAATCAACTCAAAAAGTCCCAAATCCCATCTTCTACATTATCTAAATCATGTATGGATGAATACTGGGTGTGGTCCATCCTGGGGCAAAACTCCTTCCCATATGTGGACCTTTGAATCTAGAAAACAAGTTATCTGCATCCAAAATACATTGCTTGGTGTGTTCTCATTACAGAAAGAAGGACACTATGATGGAATGGACAAACAAGTCAGAGGAGATACAGTTGGAGAACTAGGAAGGAGCAGCTAATGTAGGAAGGCCTGTAAAGATTTCAGATTTGTTTTAAGTGGGGGAATGGATGGTTATATTTTTCATACAGGGCCAGTATGAGTTGGAATCAACTCAAGAGTACATAGCAACAACAACAGGGGAATGTATTGAAAAGGAAAACCTTGTATTGAAAAGGATAGCTCTGAATGTAGTGTGTTAGACGAACTATGGGCTTAGGTATGTGGGGAGAACAAAAGTGTAAACAAGAAGACTGGTTGGAAGACTGTTGCAGTAATCTAGGCAAATATGTTGGTGGCCTGGACTGAGAAAGTAATGGAAGTGAAGAAGAGGGGACATATTTATGATGTATTTTGAAAGGAGAGCCAACAGTACTTGCAGATGGTTTATTGTTGTTATTAGGTGCTGTCAAGTTGGTGCTGACTCACAGCGACCCTATGTAAAACAAAATGAAACACTGCCTAGTCCTGTGCCATCCTCACAGTCTTTGAGCATATCATTGCAGCAACTGTGTCAATCTATCTCATTGAGGACCTTCCTCTTTTTTGCTGACCATTTGCTTTACTAAGCATGATATTCTACCTTAGGGACTGGTCCCTTCTGACAGCATGACCGAAGTACGTGAGAGGAACTCTGGCCATTCCCACTTCCAAGGAGCATTCTAATTATATTTCTTCTAAGACATATTCATTTGTTCTGGCAGTCCATGGTATTTTCAGTATTCTTTGCCAACACCACAATTCAAATGCATCAATTCTTCTTTGATCTTCCTTATTAATTATCCAGCTTTTATATGCATATGTTGTTGTTGTTGTTGTTGTTATGTGCCATCGAGTCAGACCCGACTCATAGCGACCCCTCTTTGGGTTTCCGAGGCAGTATCACTACGGAAGTAGATTGCCCCATCTTCCTTCCGCCAGCCTTCTGGTTAGCAGTCAAGTGCCT